GGCGGCGGCGCCTCCCCGGGCCCCGGCCCCTCAGGCCTCGCCCCAGCCGCGCCGGCTCGCGCCTGTCAGGACGCGCCGGGCCTCCCCCTATCGACAGCCTGCCCGGCAGGGCGGCTGGAAGGAAAGCAGGCAGAACCGACCCCCAGACACCCTCCGCCTCGCCTGGCCCGGGTTACCTTCGGGAGCCCGCACTCAGCCATCCTCCCCGCTCGCCGCCTTCTTCCTCCTCCTCCTCCTCCTTCTCCTTCTCCTCCTCCTCGCCCACTCGCCCCGCCCCTTCACACACTCTCGCTCCCATCGCCCCGCCCCGCCCCCCCACGCGGGCCCGCCATTCGCTACAGAAGAGGGGTGGGCGGAGCCAAGGCAAATATAGCTGCCCAATCAGAGCGCGGCACTGGCGCCAGCTTCCCTCTCCCCGCCCTTTTCCTTTCCTCCGCTGCTCCGCGCGGTCTCCTGCCCACTGGGCGCCGCTGGCTAGCTCAGCCACAGAGTAAGCCTCCAGTGGCGTAGAGCGACGACTCACAATCGGAAGTTACTGTTGAAGCTAAGGCAGCCATAATTGATAATGGCAAGCGGAGTTTCCTGTCTGCCGTACGACTGACTTTTTTCCTCAGCCGGGTCTGACTGTTACCCGGAGCAACAGCGGAGCCAGTGGGAAGGATTGCATTTGTAAGTAGGCCTACAGAGGAACCATAGGTGACTCGACATTTCACACTAGCCGAGTTAATTCGTAGTCAGGAACTGCAGGTTTGCTTTTCAGACTCTTTACTGAGCCGCCTAACCACTTACCTAGGTGAACAAGTTTAGAGCTTCGAAAGTCCGGAAGCTGTATTTGGCACTTCCTAGTAGGGTGATAGAAAGGAAGCGGGAAAAGTCGCCCCAGCCTGAGCCCCAGGGGGTGCTTCCCCTGCACCTGGGTGTCCGGGTGAGGTGAGTGTCCCTCGGCGCCCACCCGTGGGGCTGGCCCCGGCCTGACGGACCATGGGCAGAGAGCGCCGAGAAAACCGGAGGGACCCAGGGCCGCTTCCGCTGGAAGAAGGTTTCTTTCCGGCTGGCCCGCCCTCCCTTCACCCGGCTGAGGATCCCTGTAGGGCGCGGCTGCCCGACCTGCTTCGACTATTTGGAAGGAGTTTTCGGACCGGGAGGGCTAGCAGGGTTGAAGGCCGACCCAGGGGCGGAGCCCCTAGCGGCTGCAAAATGGAACTCCCGACCACGCCCCCACGGGTTCCAAAACCTTGAGGAAATCAATTTACACCCCTACTATAAAAGAAAATGATGACACTCCCCTCCCCAAACCTCCCACCGCCATGCACCGCGGCAAGGCCTCCCCGCCACCTGTTTTTCTGATTTTTCTACCTTTTTTTCCCTTTCCTTTCGCCTTTCTGTTTAAGTTTTGACTACAGTTCTGGATACCGGTGTACTGCCTTAGTCCCGAACGTCTAAGGCCTATTAAGCAACTTAATACTTGTGAATATTGTAATGACTGTATTCTTTAAAGATACTTAAAGTGCTGTCTTGGGAAAAAAAAGTTAAAAAGCTAAAAGCATATAATGTACATTCACGTATCCTTTTACCTAGGTATAACAGTTGTAAACATTTTATATATGTATTTCAATCTTCCTCACATTACTTACTATTTTATTGCCATTTAAAAAATTGGCTACAGATCTTTTTCTTAGGCAAACCCCCTAAGGTTTCCAACATGAATTTCCTACGAATTTTGAAGTAGTTATTACTAGTATCATTATTACAAATAAGAAAATTAACAAGTCTGTAACATAAAAAAACTGAGTCTGCAACTCAGAATCCTATTAAAATTTATGTACTATGGCAATTCTAATCTACAACTGTGCCCATCTTCCCCTCTGTGACATGGCATTTTGAAGATGTTAACCCAGGACTCTTTTTGAAGGGGGGGGGCTTATTTTTGTGAGCTCTGAAGCTAGACTGGAGGCTTGATTACATTAAATACTTTTTGCAGGACTATTCAACAGTATTCCTAGCCTTCCAGTTTTGACTAAGCCCGCTCAATTGCAGCTGCACATATCCTTGCCATGCATTACTAGTTAAATCTATTCCACTAAGCAAGCTAAGACTTTGTCATTTAATCCTCCGATGTGTGTAGAGTTTGTTAGTGTCCTGAGCTGGGAACATAAGCCTGCCTACGTTTAATCAAGTGCTGCTGCTTGGTCTGTGCTTGGAATTGATACAGTAAAATCTGCAGAGTATACTGACGTCAGCATAGTTTCTTGAGTTTCAACTCCTGGCACCCTGCAGACTGTTGTTGAAAGATGTGTGGGCTCTGTGATTCAAATACAGATGAATCTTGATGTTATCAGAGCAGATACCAAGGCAACTGCTGTACATCTGGCCACAACCCAATTTAGGCAAAGTTATTTTCTCCCTGAAATTCTTTTGCAAGTTCTAATTGGTCCTGGTGTTCCTGTGATAGCTTTTTGGTAGCATTAAGCACTGCCTATTAAAAATTGCAAAATCAAGATAATACTTAACACTTAGTTCATTAGGAACGTTCTCTGCCCACTGGACAGAGGACTCTGTAGAATTTAGTTTATAATCACAAAATGAAGACTGCCAAGCCCATGTACTCCTCCTACCCTATACTTATTTTTCATCTTGAAAGATAAGTGGAAAGAAATTTCTTAGGTTAATGTAGAATGTTTTTAGCCATCATACTTAAAGTTTAATAATGCACTTCAGTAGTTGCTTTCTTTGTGTAGGAGGAAATTTGCTCACATAGGATTATGAAGCAATTTTAAATTGACTCTGAATTCAAGACAGCAAAATAATACAACAGTTAAGACTGGGTTTTAGAATCCAACCTGGGTTTCAGCAACATGACCATTCACTAGCCAGATGTCCATGGATTATTTAAAACTAAATTTGTTGAACAGAATTAATTCAAGAATATAAAGTACTTTAGCTTGGCTTATAGCACATAGAATGTAGTGAGTATATGGTGGTTATTAATAACTTCTAAAGCAATCTAATTTGGGCACATAGTAAGCAGTAAATATTTAAAAAGTCAACACACTCAATACTTCTTTAAGTTTAATGTGGAAAACTTAGATTTCAATTCATTGATTCTGATTTCTGGAGGGCTTTAGAAAAATAGTATAGATTGTTCAGAATAATACAGATTTTCAGTCTGGGTGTGGTGGTGCATGCCTTTAATCCCAGCAGAGGCAGGCGGATCTCTGTGAGTTCAAGGCCAGCCTGGTCCACATAGTGAGTTCTAGGACAGCAGGGGCTACAGGAAAACCCTGTCTAAAAAAGAAAAAAAAAAAAAAAAAAAATACAGATTTTTATTCAGTCACGCAAGGACTAGACTTTGAGAAACAATGTTAAATATCAAATGATTCTCTTCCTTGCATACTGTTGACATAGACAACCAGTTATCTCACATACTAATTAATTTTTTCCCAAAAGTTTAAAACCACCAACTAGAATTGAATTTTGAACTAGGAGAGATTATTCGAGAAGAGCATTTTATGTAAGCTGTATTACTTTCTATGAACTTTAATAGTGGTATCTGCTGGTGAGTATACCTGAGCCAGTGGCAGCGTCCAGATCCACCATTAACAGCTTCTGTTCTAAGGCTCAGGCACATTTCAGAAACTAGACACCACACATTTTATTAACATGAGTCTGAATTAATTAGCCAAATTGAGCATGTTGCAACACATCTCGACCAGCAGATGCCAGCTAGCAAAGCAGAGTAGAATCTGCTGTCGCCAACTGTATGCCATCTGATGTTACTTGGCTTCCCCAGATGAGTATCAGTCCACACTCTGCTGGCATATGGGCAATTGATTAATAGTGTTACTACCTTTTGTCAACTGAAAAACAGTTCTTCCTGAACTCTCCCTTTCACCTTTTTTTCATTAGTTTACATTGGAAAATCTACATGGAACTAGAGGTGTAACTCAGTGCTGGAGTGCTTGCGTAATGTACACGAAGCCCTAGATTTGATCCCCTGAGCACACCCACACCCACACCTCCAAAATCTGTGCTTTTGGAAATTAATGTATCATTCAACCTCAACTCTTAGACAAGACCAGATAATTTTTGTTATTATTTCTACCATTCCTTGCCATGTCCACTCCAAACTGCACCTGGCTAAATGAAATTTCCTTTAAAAGAGATAACTTAATAAATATCCACAAAAGAACTTACTTTAAAAGAGCTAACTAGGCCAGGCGTGGTGGCACATGCCTTTAATCCCAGCACTTGGGAGGCAGAGGCAGGCGAATCTCTGTGAGTTCAAGGCCAGCCTGGTCTACATATCAGGTTCCAGGCCAGCAGGGGCTACAGGGAGACCAAAAAAAAAATAAAATAAAAAAGAGCTAACTAGCCAAGCGTGGTGATGCACACCTTTAGACCCAGCACTGGAAACAGGAAGGTGGATCTCTGTGAGATTTACACCAGCCTGGTCTATATAGCAAGTTCCAGACCAGCCACGGATATAGGAAGATCCTGTCTCCAAAAAAAGAGCCAACTTAATGAATAGTCATAAAAAAAAAATATTGTTTATATAACAGAATTGCTTCTGGTGCCTCCTTCAGTTCCTAAAGACTGGCTTTGATTAGTGCCCACTAGGCCAGGTACAGTGGTACACACCATTAAGAAGCTACTTCAAAGGATGAAGCAGGAGGATTGCTTGAGCCCAGGAGTTCAACACCAGCCTGGGCAGCTGCATCCAGATCCTATCTCAAAAAAAAACAAAAATGTGCCCAAAGGGTGTAGTTAGACAACTTGACAGATGACAGTGGCTCTGTATTTTCAACAGTTCAATATCAGATTCTTTTACTGGCCTAGAGGGAAGGGAAACAGTGGGAACAGTGAGGACTAGAATCTGAGAGCACATTTACCAGATATTGCCAAATTTGTTGAGTAGAGCTAAAATGTGGGTTTATGTGAAATCTGCTGGTTTTCAAAATTGGTTCAAATGCTATTTAAACATCTAGCAGACTAGGAAAACAAACTGGTTTGGAACTATGGGGCACCATCTTGCTGATGTCTGTATATATGTAAACATGATTAGTACTTGGGTTAAGAGTCCCAAAATGCTTTATAGTCTTGTCTTTTTTTTTTTTTCCTTTTTTTTGCCATATTTCAGATATCATTACTTTGTTAGGGTGAGCAACAAATCACTTGTCATCTCTACCAAAAAGTCAAGATAAATTCTTATTGTACACTAGATTTCTAGTCCCTTGATTATGATTTTTTACAGGGTTTTATTTACTCTTTTGCTGCTTACTTAAAACCTACATTATTTCAACCTTGAGTTATATTATGAAATATGTTTGCTTTATCATATTTTCAAAACATTTACATTGCCTGATGCTTTAAATTTAAATAAGTTTTTAAAGAAGAAA